GGAATGTGTGTGCCTGTGTTTGTGTGGGTGTTGTGGGGAAAGACTACATGTGTGATGTGGTGGAGGGCTGAAGGAGATTGGATGCTGAGAGGAGGAGGAGAATATGGAGATGAGGAGGTGCAGCGGTGGTTAAGCCGCCGGCGTTGATGCCACTTCATGCATCTGACAGAAAATAAAGGGGAAACACTTGAATGAATGTGAAGGAAATCAATGGATGGACGGCCAAATTAACTCTCCCTCCCTTACTCGCTCCCTTGAAAGGCCTTGAAATGCCCTCACATTCACAGTGGAAATGTGTTTCTGTCTTTCACCTCTTTCTTTATAAAGAAGTGCCACTCCCTCTCGAGGTCTGTCTGGCTTAACCATCATTCTCCCCCTGTTGCTATGGAAACAACATTTCTCAATGGGGATGAGATGACTCTTCTTTTATTGTGATACCATGATATTATGTATTGACTCTCTATATGTACACACACTAGCATGGGATCACAACAGTGAAGTGTGAATGAACACTGATCCCTCTGAGAGTCATTTGCGGGCAGACAGTTCATTCAGCTGTTCATTCACCAGTTCATATCACTGGTTTTCTGGGTGCTCTAGTTAACAGAGGAAATATAATTTAGCACCCTTTTTAAAATATTTTTAGAGCTTTCTATGTAAATGTTACCCTACAATAAAACGTCACCTTCATAACAATGCAATAGTGTAGATTAGAAGTCTGTCTGTCTGTCTGTCTATCTATGTCTGTCTGTCTATCTCTATCTATGTCTGTCTGTCTGTCTATCTATCTATCTATGTCTCTGTCTGTCTGTCTGTCTGTCTATCTATCTGTCTGTCTGTCTGTCTGTCTGTCTATCTATCTGTCTGTCTGTCTGTCTGTCTGTCTATCTATCTGTCTGTCTGTCTGTCTGTCTGTCTATCTATCTGTCTGTCTGTCTGTCTGTCTGTCTATCTATCTGTCTGTCTGTCTGTCTGTCTGTCTATCTATCTATCTATCTGTGCAGAGGGAGAGAATCCCTAAAACTCAACATCTGGACAAGGGTGTGGCCATAAGCACACAGATTAAATACAGAAATGGACCAAGAGAAAGAACAAGCCACAAAGCAGTGGACACCAATCATCAGTGTTGTATGAGGATTGATGCTTCCTTTTGTCAGAGTGTTAAAGATGGATGTGGCTACTATTAATGTATCCATTTGTCAAAATGAAATTGGGCTTTGCTTGTGCTGCTGACACAATTTTGAAGGTTTATTGACAACTCACATTATAGAACAACATCACAATACCAAGCTGTGCTGCGGCAAAATGGGTGATCTGACCTTATTTACAGAGAGTTTCAAATTCTGCTCTGTAAGATGTAGAAAAAAGCCGCAACATGCTCAGAGAGGGCATTCTGAGCTGCATTGTTGATAAGAAAACACTGCTGGCCCGGCAATGAAGGGCAAAAGATAGGAACAAGGTTAAGCAATGTAGCTGTGTCTAATAAACAAAGAAACTGCTGACAGCCATTCAGTGACTCAGTATGAGAAAATGTACTTTTTACAAGAGAAAGAGTCCCAAAAAATGCTCAAAATAATAGGCATGTTTACAAAATGGGTAACAATTTAATACAGATGTATTAAAAAGGAAGTTGATTATACACCTTTATCATTCAATATATTTATGTATAAATATATATTTTGTGCACAAGAATTCTATAGGCAAGCAGGAGAAAACACATTAAAACACACTTGACCCATAATTTGCACAATAAAATGTTCAATTGTTGATCTTTGTACTTAAGTGCACAAACTTAAGTGCAGTTATATGTAAATGAACAGAAGGTGTGTAGCACTTAAATCCACATTTTTAAGTATCAACATAATCATCACATTTATACTGAATCTATATTATTCAGAATGGAGCGCCAAAATTAATACTTAAATCAGGCCCAGTGGTAAAACACAGCTAAATATTATACGGACTGTCACTTAATTTTCTCCTTTTGATAAATAATCATTTACATTGATCATGATCATTTTGTACTGACCTGGCATAGCTGAGATCAGTGCTTTGGTGGTCCTGGGTGAGTTTTTTGTGCCTGTCTCTGGTGTCCTTTAATGGGACTCCGAACTTTCTCTTATGAAAGATAGTCCTTCAAGCATGAGTTATGGCTGTTCCAAAGGGCACTATTGTTCCCTGTCTCTTCCCCGGAGCACTTGTTCCTGTCTACTGTACACACACCTACCTGAACTCCAGTCACACCCACACCGGCATATTTACATTCTCACCTTTGGATGTTAAAGTGTCAATACCGACCCTTAGATCAATTGAGTCAGTGCCAATGCTCCATAATGATTCGGTTTCAGAAACATTGTAGACGTGTGCTTCTGGTTTTGTGAAGTCAAACTAATTTAAAATGTATTAGTTCACCATTTAAGCAAAGGATCATTTTTGCAATAGCTAAACTGCAGTTTATTCAATCAGACGCTGAAACAGCAGAAAAAAATTAAAGCATTTGTACTGCAGTACATATGAAGAAGTCTGATGCCATTGTACATAACTGTCAGTTTGCAGGAGATTATGAAAGCCATAAATCTGACTTTTTTTTTTACAAACCCAGTAGAGATTAGATGTGCCGATCCAATGGATTGATCCACAACCACAGATCAAAGTGTCATTTTTTGTTTTTCTCTCTCCTTCATGAATTTTGCTTTCTTGTTGAGGTTGGTAACGCTGAAGGATCAGCAGATTAACCTCTACATGATCTGTAATCTGTAAAGTTCATGCTGTAATGTTCCACAACAGCAAGCATCGATTAAGTTGTAGATTAAAGACATATAATGATCTTGCTGAGATACATAGATTCTGACATTATAGTCTTTGCAGCATTCCTGGAATGAGCTGTGCAGTATTCATTCAGACCTGTTCTGTGTGGTTTTTGGTGTTTGTAATGCTTCAGATACAGCAATGACCGATTACAACCGTGACATTACAACCGTGTCACAGCTGCGGTTCTCTAATGAACCACAAGGATAGGAAAACCAGCCCAGCTGCCTTCCTTCAATGAATATAAATCAGCATGTTCATATCTCACTTTTGATGTTAAGAATCAATATTTGGTCTCCACTTATATTACCTGGTAATTCCTGTTAAGGTGTACCCGGTACCAGCTCTGTAAATTTTTAAGTTGTAGATTAAAGACATATAATGATCTTGCTGAGATACATAGATTCTGACATTACAGTCTTTGCAGCATTCCTGGAATGAGCTGTGCAGTATTCATTCAGACCTGTTCTGTGTGGTTTTGGGTGTTTGTAATGCTTCAGATACAGCAATGACCGATTACAACCGTGACATTACAACCGTGTCACAGCTGCGGTTCTCTAATGAACCACAAGGATAGGAAAACCAGCCCAGCTGCCTTCCTTCAATGAATATAAATCAGCATGTTCATATCTCACTTTTGATGTTAAGAATCAATATTTGGTCTCCACTTATATTACCTGGTAATTCCTGTTAAGGTGTACCCGGTACCAGCTCTGTAAATTTAAAAACTGTGTTGCAATTTAAAGTATGTCTATAAAAGGTTTATTACTGCGGGATTGCAGTGTAACCTGTTATAACAAACTGTTTGAGGTTTTAATATTATAATTTTTTATAATTTATCAGAATGTAATATTTTAAAATATTTAAAAATGCCAACCAATAGGTGCAGTCGCAGCATAATGTTGTGGCCATAATGGCATTGTCAATTGTCAACAGCATAGTGATGTATAAACATGTTCACACAGAAGTCACTCACAAACCATGCAGCTTTCTAATGGTCAGTGTGGCAAATTTGTATGACCTGCTTGAACATAAGTGAAATCTGAGAATCTTTTTTATTGATTAATTGATTAACTGGTTGGTAAATTAATACAAGACAGAATAATAGGACAATATTTTTGCCACAATGCTTAACTACATGCATTCAATGCAGCAACTGAACCTTGTATTGATGTGTATGTGTGTGTACCACCAGTCATAGCATTCTCCTAATGCCTCTGATTATTCATACGCACATACAAGACAATGTCATAAAACTTTACTGTTAATAGATACATCCAGAAATGTTGGATAATGCTGTTTTGCACATTATAATATATATATTTTTTTATTTGTTATATGGCACACCGTGTTCCGTTTTGATTTGTTTGGAATTATTGTGCTTTGGATAGTTAAAAAATGATGGTATTTCGGAAATTATACATTTTAATATATTAAATTGAATGACTGAAGTGTTTGTACTCATACCAGTTGTAGGTCAAATTTAGCTCAAATATAAAAGAAAGAATCTTATTAATAAACTGAGCCAAATGATATGGCTCACTAAAAAGAGCTGGAATTCCCATCATCATGCGGATTCCTATTGCTATGACTAGATGTCACCTTTGAAATTTCACTGAGCAACAGTAAATGTGACCGCACTGTTATCATTTACTCATCTTGTTTCAAATCAGTATGAGTTTCTTCTTTCTGTTGAGCACAAAAGAAGATATTTTGAAGAATGCTAGTAACCAAACAGTTGCTGGTAGCCATTGACTTCCATAGTATTTTTTTCATACTATGGTGAGGTTTTTTATTGTTGTGATGTAGGAGGTGGATGTCCACTCAGTGGATGATGGAGGGACACACTGATTAGGCTCAGCTGGGTGCTGTGGCTTGTGTAATGTGGACAGATGAGAGTGGATGAACTCTAGGCATGTGGCCTGTTGTACCAATCTCCTGCGGAGACTACCCATATGTTTCACTCGGCACAGCTTCTGCAAAACATGCCCACCGTTTGTTTAATGCAAACATGTACACAGAAAAACATTCGTCAAATGAGAGTAAAGAAATGGCTGTCTGAATATTACGCAGTTTATACATCAAACAAAGCGCTTTAACAATGGAAAAAGAAATAGAAACACTGTAACTGGTACTCTGACTTCATTACACAAGTTAATTAAAATATTAGGCTACCATGAATGGCAAATAATCAGATTGTAGATAGTAATTGGCATGAAATTAAACAGCAAAGTGATAATTACTGAACTCATTTCCCATCTTTTTCTTTATTAAGGTAATGAAGGTTTGCTCCCTAGGGCCAATGAAAAGAGTAGTGCTGCAAACAAGTGTTAAAGGCAGGGTATGTGATTTTTCAAAAACACTTTAGAAAACTGATTCGGGCCGAATAGCAAAACAAACTTGTAGCCAATCAGCAATAAGGGGCGTGTCTACTCGGTAATGGATGATGAAAATTCAGCTTTGCCTTCACTTGAATAATTTATATTATAAAGTGTATTAAAATAGAAAACCATTATTTTTAAATTGAAATAATATTGCACAATATTGATGTTTTTTTTTCCGCAGCCTTAACATCACAGTATAAAAACGGGCAATCTCACTTTATTTTCACTTTATTGCCAGATACAAGCTGTTCTGGTAAACCGTACACTTTACACACAAAAATAGTCTATTTATTTAAAAATGTAATCAACACCCATTAGCTCAGCTATGGAGGACGGACAGAGATTGTGCTATTTGTCAAGCTATGAAGAACCTGGTGATCTTCAGTGCTGCATGAAGCCTTCTAATTGGCCACGGCCGAGCCACCTCGCACATTCAGCTTGTTAACTCTGAAAAGTCTGTCGTTGCCCTCAGGTCATTTGTCTCTGGAAATATACAAGCGACACACTCACAGACATGGTTCAAAACATTACTTCCGCTGACACAGTATTCACTAAAATTGCTCTGTTTTGTCGATCGTCTGGAGTCTGACCTTGACAGAAACTGAGCAAACAATTTTTAAGACATGGATATAAAGATGCAAACACAACAACAGCATTTACACAACACTGCTAGAGTTATCAATGATGATTGCTTTTTTATTTAGACTAAGGAAGCTCAAGAACTCTTCTTGATATGTTTCTGGCTATTGCTTTCATGATATGGAGATTCAGTTTTGTGCTCATGGCTAGCTAGAAATAAATGATCAACATGATCAAATAATCTGCATTAAAAAGCCCTACACCAGAAAACTAAAGTAGTAAGGCCAGCTATGATATGAAAATAGACAACCCAAGACATACTCTTTCCTAACAATATATATTTTACATTCAACATTATATAACTTTAAGATGAAATATCACTTCAGCAGTGTTAATGTAGTCTGATAAAAGAAACCACAAGACAAATATAACACTACTCATATTAAGAGCAGTGCAGTACATTGGTATGCAACATTTGTTATTATTTTTATTTCCATGGATAGACAGCAAGCTCATAGATAGATACAGCGGCTTCGCTAGATCTAGTGCTCTTATAATGGAAGTCCATGGAGAGTATAATTGCATGTTTGTATGCAGATATTTACGAAGTTATTTTCCACTGAACACTTGAACACTTGTTTCGGAGGGTAGCAGGTTAATTACTGATGCCTGATGGATAGTCTGTCTCCCAAAAGTTCCTGTTCCTGGGACAACTGACAACAAATGACATCTATTATGGACAAACTGACTTCCTCCTACTTTAGATGATTAAATCGCACCACATGTCTCCGAAGTGAGTTAGGTAAATATGTATTGCTTTGGTCTGACTACATGCCAAGCTAGATGGAGTAACTGTGTGTGTGTGTGTGTTTCACTATCCTTATGGGGATGAAATGTCAGAAAATATCCCCATAAGGATATCTGTAAGTGTGTCTGGAAGATGACTATGCAAGTCTAAGCGGTCTCAGAAAGAACAGCCATCACCGTGTCGGCCTGCTTAGCCAGCTTTGTGCTGGTGTGAGTGGACAGTTTGGACAGGGTGTCCCTCAGGTTTAGAGACGTTATCTGCTCCCGTAACATGCCTGCAGGGGAAGAAGAAGAGGGTATAGAGTAATACATAATTTAGTTCAAAACTAGGGCTCACAGAATCTTGTCATTTAAATTTTCACAGAGAGTTTGATTAGTTAGTAAGTAAGTACTAATCTAATACAGGACTGTCAGAAAACAATCTTTGGCAGTTTCACAGTGTGTCATTTAGTGGTACTGACTAGAGTTGGCAAGGCTGCAGATGAGGCCTAAAGCACTGAATTTGACCTCCACGGCCACAACAGGGTCATCTAGCATCTTCTGCAAGGTGGGAAGGAGATCTGCATCCCGAAATGGTTCTTGCACTGCCTCTGCACAGAAGAAACGGATATACCAAGATTAGACATGGTATGTATGTGGGGACCACATTACACAAGGAGTTCAGTGAGCAACCCACATGCAAAAGACTGTTAATCTCATAAATTATACCTTGTATTAAAGGGGTCATAGGATGCCCATTTTCCACAAGTTGATATTATTCTTTGGGGTCTTATTGAAAAGTATGTAACATAGTTTGGTTAAAATTTCTCAATGGTAGTGTAAAAAACAGCTCTTTTCAGATCAAGTCGTTTTTGTAGCATTTTCCTTCAAATGTTAATGAGTTCTGCTGACCCCGCCCCTCTCTTCCAAGCTGCTCTCATAGAGACTGTTTACTTTAGCCGCATTCATTGTGAAACTTGCTAATTAGCACATTATTAGGAAAGGCGATTTGCAAAGATTAATAAAAAACATTATACTCACTTTCTCTGGAGACTAGGCTGGATCATGAATGATTCGCGCGAACATAGACGCATTTATGTAGATCGGGGTGCATTCCCTTCAGAAACAAATGTAATCCACTACGAGTTCAGCAGCTCAGATGTCGGGAGTAAATGAGACTGCTGTTCATTATTACATCCAACAACAGAACACCTCAATCGCTGAGAAAATTAGCTTTTGAAAGGAAGCACAACTTATTGTGTCAAAATAAGAAAATTATTTTGACTCATTAGTTAACAGATCTTGGTTACAGTACATGCAACTGCAAGTGTGATATTGCCTTAGCACTTAGAATATAACAGATTTTTAAAGCAGAAATATGAAACTGTTTTTTTTATCACTTAAAAGAAGATATTTTCAGTAAAAGTCCATTAAGGATTTGAGCTGTAAAACTGTCAAAATAAAATGTGTGACAGTTTTCATTTTGAATCTATTAATCATTCCTGCACCGTTTTGTTGATAAATGATTGTTATAGACTGATTTTCCGAGGTAGGGCTGCACGATTAATCGAATGTCATTTCGATTTATCGTGCATCCCTATTCCAAGGCCTTGGAAAATTAAGTTCAGTTGCTTCAAGAATGTTCTGTAATCATACACAAAACTCTGCTTTCTCATTCAGCTGTCCTGATTGTGAATGTTTATACAACAGTTCAATAAACAAAAGTTAATATTAAGTAACTGACATTTTAGACACAATATTGTCAGTTACTTAATTAATCTTTTTTTTGCCCCACCAACAAAAATAGTTCCAAACAAAACCACAACAGAATGAACTCGCGTGTCTCCAACCAGCACACACAGGCTGCATCCAAAAATACATACTTTCCTATTATATAGTAGGCGAAAATGATGAGAAAGGTAGTACTGTATTCCAAATCCCATGAAGCAACTGGAGGGGATGGCAGGAAAGCAACGCAACTGATGCTGTAGTTCACATGACAATGACAAAAAATTGTGATTTTGAATACAGCCACAGGAGTGGTATTTCTGTCTTGAATGAAGCTGTGTTTTTGAATGAATTGGTTTAATGAATAACTCAATGACTCACTCATTATCACAGTAACCTGCCAACACCTACTGGTGTAACAATGTAACCTGCAGAAAGTTGTTGGATGACAAAATAACCTTAAAAATACCTAAAATTCCCTAGACAGGAAAGTACATGTATAGTATGTCATTTGAATGGAGACACAGCAAAATTCTTACCGATGTCTATTGCAGAAGCAATGGCCAAAGCGACTAAAGCCTCATTCTGCATGATGACGTGCTCACTGGTTGCCATTGAGATGAGATGTTGGACTCCATCTGCTTTAATGACAGTGTGGATGACTTCCTTTAAAGACAACAGAGGGGGATATTTTAGATAAACAGTTTATCTGACTATAGTTACACATACTGTGTTTGTCTGAAACTCACAGGGTTTCGGCTGTGTCTTATGAGAGCTGCTAAAAGACGGTTGGCCTCGCCTCTGACACCAGCGTGATCTTTAGCCTCGCACCACTCCATCACCCGTGCTAACAGAACCTCATCCTTCCCTAAAACTGAAGCTGCTTCCTCTACGAGAGGAGGGGGGAGGAAGAGTACAGTAGAAATGAAGAGAGAAAATATGCTAAAAATAACTGTTGATACATTAATACACAAATAATAAAGAGATAGGGTACAATGGGGCTAAAGGCCCACCTTAAGAAAAAATGTGCTATTCACTGCGCCTAAAATGTATAATTGCAGAAAAAAATATATACGTTGTATTGAACATTAATGGAGCAACAGATTTTGTGTAAAAATAAATCATTCAAGTTGTTAATTCTGTTTAAAAATCTTATAAATGTATGAGGTGGCAAGAGGGGCCTTTTACCCCCTACACAGGGTATGTTTATATAAATGTTTTTTAAAATAATGTCAAAGTTGATACTTGTTCAAAACAATCACTTTAGCAAAGTTTGTACTATTTTCTGCTTATTTTGAAAAATAAAAGAATACATTTTTGTTCAATAAATATACTGTCATTAAAATATGTTAATATAAAAAATATATTTTAAAATACAGAAACAAAATCATTTTAATAAGTAAAGATTCTGAAAGTATTGAAGGAGATCCAATAATAATTGAATATATATTTACAGTAGTAACAACAAATTATATTTTATTATATGATATGATTAATATCATGTTTTTAAATATGATGGTTTCATTCTAAACATGGGGATTATCTCTAATATGGACACCCAACATAATATATTATATTTATCATCTGAATCTAACCATGTCATGTCAAGAAATGGAAAAGTCAGCCATCTATTAATTATCATGTTAATTACTGTGCACCTTTAGCCCCAACAGCAGGGGCACTTTTAACCCCAAATACCATACTTTTACATATTCTTTCATTATTTAAAAACTGTTGCTTTAATTATCTTAAACAAAACTGAAAATCATAAAGACCTTTGTCTCAAAATATATGCATTAATTTTAGCGATTCTTATTTGCTACTTAAATCTTTTAAAACATTTTAAAAAAACATAAAATAATAGATCAAGTAAGCACAAAATCAACTTTGCACTGCTGCTTGCGATCGCGTCAAAGATCAGACAAATAAACACGTGCATCTTGAAAAGCAAATGTTTTGGAAAGTGCTACGCCACGTTTTTGTGCCATCTAGTGGTTTAGATGAAAATAATATCAAAGGCGCCTTTAGCCCCGTTGTACCCTACCGTGGCAGCACTTTAGGGTTTGTTTATATCTGTATTTAGTTACTCAGATAACCTTTGTTAAGGGAAATTATTACTGGAGCACAGTAATTTAGTGTGTCAAAGCCCTAGCAGGCCTTTTGTCTGCATACAAGGGTGTCTAAAATAACACACTTCACTGAAGGGCTGGAAATTACAGCCTCTTGAACAACAGTTTAAAGTTGTAAGGAGAAATGTTAATTCATATCATAATTAAACCATCATAGTCACTTGGCAGGTAATTGTATAGTTTAGCAAAGCTTTTGTCTAAAAATGACAACATGTTGTTTGTCGTGTCCTCCTCTTCAACAGTCAAATGAATGTGCTTTTTTACTACCACTAGGACTGTCACACTTATTCAGTCATTCATTGTATGAATTTAAGAGTCACTTTTCTCTAAAGCGACTTTGCATGTGAGTTAATTTGACATGTTTATGCAAACTAATCTCTTTAATCTGTGACCTAACAGTTCACATAAATGCAGTTTTCTTGAATCATTACCTTGGCCGTCCACCATCATGCGCAAAGTGCCCAGCAGTTTGAACTGGACGGGGGGCATGTCGGAGCGCAGAAGGGTCCTGATCCTCTCTGTGACTCCATCCTCCAACATACGCACCTTATTGGAAGCTACATCAGGAAAACAGAGAGAGCAGGATGACAGATCTAACCACAGACAAGCAAAACGTCCAATCTGTACTAGTTGGGTAGCTGGTGAACTAGCACAGCCAGTATGTTCTTTTTAGTGAATTTGGCTGACCGAGGAACTCTTGCTGGTCAATTTGGTTAAGAATCCTGCCGGAAACACCTACACACTTGCATCCCATACTGGGGGCCAATATCCAAACCTGTCCTTGCACTAAACTACACTATATGCAGGTGAAAACCTATGTTGTTTTTACAGGAAACTCAAAAAAAAATTCTCAAATATGTATTTGCAAAAGGCACTGTTGTAGTGGTCATTCAAAGGGTTGGGTCAGTAAGATTTCTTTTAAAGAAATGAATATTTCTATTCATCAAGACACATAAAATTGATCAAAAGTGACAGTAAAGACTTTAACATTGTTAAAAGTTCTATTTCAAATCAATGAAGATGGCTGCTGAAAATGCAACTTTGATATAAAAGGAATAAATTGCATTTTAAAATATACTAACAATTTAAAATTGTTATAATATTTCACAATATTACTGTTTTTACTGTATTTCTGGTCAAATAAATATAGCCTTGGTGAGCTTAAAGGTTAAGAAATCTTACAGACCCCCCAAAAAAAATGTAACAGCAGGGTACTTTGAAAAGAAATGTAGAACCTGGAATGGCAAGATTTCTAAGTGCACTGAGGCCAGCGTGCTGCACAGATACATCTCCCTCTGCTACATGCTGCTCCAACAGGTCCAGAATACGAGGAACAACTCCTAAATCCAACATTTTCACACAGTTGCTGTCTAAGAAAAAATGAGAGAGAGAGAGAGAGAAAACTATTTTCAGTCATTTTAAACTGCAACAAATTCTGAGTCATAAAGTCAGACAAAAACCTTTATCACACTCCACCACAACTCCATGTTTATCTTCTCACCATTTCTGGCAAAGTTAGCAATGGCCAGGGCTCCTGACAACTGCAGCTCAGTATTTGCTGACTGTATCCAGGAGAGAACATCCTGATAAACCATCCCCGTCCCTTCCCCAAAACACTTCTGCATTGATTCATCTGTAAGGAAAGGCAGATGATGCTAGAAAATTCAGAATAGCACTATGCTTGCATTGCATTGTTGACATATTTCATTAGACTCTGTTATGGTCTAAGGTTGATAGTCTGATGGAGTCATAATGAAATAGTCTAAATAGAAAAATCCATTGTAATATGACCATAGTGGTGAAATAATGGAGAGAGACGTACCTCCCAGTAGGAGGGTCACTATGAGGTTTGAGGCCACTTTTATGCTGCAGAGGTCATGTGTGTCAGAGCCACCCTGAAGAGTTCGAATCATTTCAGAGAGAGCCTCGGGCACGCCTGCTTCCACAAACTGCAGTTTCAGAACATCTAAAAAACATGAACACGTAGTCACACAGGGATTTCATCATTCACATCATCACCAAGAGTAGTGACTGAGGCCAGATTTCAACCAAAGTACGCTATACGAATAATGTTGTATGATCCAGGCTCACATTTAGATCTGGTTTAAATATTATGCGGCTCACCACTCTCTCCCAGTGACCCAAGAACCTCTAGTATGAGATGCCGGCGTTCTGCGTCTGGTGCCCGCTTCAGCTGATAGGTCAAGACCTCCGCTACACCCACTTCCACCAGGGCCTCTCGTGCAGCATCTGAACATAGTGATAGAAATCACAATCAGTAACTAGATATTAGAGATATTATAAGAAAAATACTTGAATGGCTCTACAAATAGGAATGATTGCGAATGAGGTGGCTATAAAAACAAGACTGCATCAATCTTACAGATGCACAATATATTGGTAGTATAGTGGTTATTGTATATACAATATGTCGGTATAAACATATTAACCAATATTGTGTAATTTTGCATGCTCATTTCCCCTATTGTTATATTTAAATTACATTTGTCATAAAATTGTTAAATTTTTAGAAAATCTCAAAATGAAAATCCATTTTTCATGTAGTCCATTATTATGCCTAAATTCACTTGTGATATTTAAAATGATTCCTGTTAGATTTTTAGTGTTTTATTTTTATTTTTAATTATTTTTAAATATTATCCATTTATTATGTAAATAATAATAATAATAATGTAAATAAATAAATGGTCATGTATTGTTATTTAATCAATCATATCGATTGATTTAATATCAATACATGACCATTTATTTATTTACTTTTTAATATTAGTATTATTTTATTTATTTCGTTTTTGAATGAATAAATAAATAAAAGTAAGTATGTAATGTAGGTAGGTATCAACAAGAATTTTAAAACTGGTGGATCGCTACTCAGTGTGGCAATGTCCAGTCAGCTTTTTTGTTTTTATTATATATGATTTTAAGGCTTCACTGCTCTCTATTTTTGTCTTACCCACATCAGCAAGGTTGCAGAGTGCCAGCAGGCAGACGTTTACCAGTGGGTCATTCTCAGGATACTGCTGCATTATGGCCACCAGCCTGGGGATTACACCATTCTCCACCAGCTGCGTCTGCTGGACAGCTGAGAGAGAGAGACACGGGGAGGACGGGTGAGTGGGCACACAAGCACAGACAGCCAAGAGAGGAATGGGCATTGAGAGCTATAGAAGATGTGAGAATATAATGGAGAATGGAGCACAGGGAATGAATAGTAATTTATTTTATTCTGAATGTGTGTAATGAATGCTCAATATGAATAGGCTGTCGAAAGCTAAGCCTCAACAAAACAAAAGCAGAATGTTTATATTATCACTTTATGTTTAAAGCATCTTGTTAGGTAGGATGTTTTACTTATAGGACTGATCAAAGATAGCCTGAGGAACGGCTACTAAGCCATCTTTTGAATATGAAATTCAACATAGAATATTTCCCTTTCAGCACAAAGACAGAGAAAACTAGGCCAGGAGATGGCAACAGAAGAGAAAGACAATCCAAGGATTTATAAAGACAAGAATCCCTTCAAAGACACAGTGTTTTAATACCAAATGCGGACCAGTGAACCATAATATCATGAGAACTGCATGTTCAAGAAGTTGAAGGATAAACTGAATCAAGATCCTGACATTTACTATTCAAATGAACTCTGTGGTAAGAAAGCAAACTGTGTTAAAACAGAAGCACAAAAGCTGAGCGGAATTGTGCGACCAACTGGAGACACATCAAGACTGTTGGTGAGAAACACGATTGGATAGACTGCAATTTTCCTGCTCCAGTGCACTCACCATTTTCAAAGCAGATACGTCCAATTGCTCGGCCTGTGTGCAGGAGCTGGTCCTGGTCTGGGCTGTTCAGTAAAGGCACTAATGCGGTCACCAGACCTGCTTCAATACAGCGCTCCCTCACAGCAGCTAGCACACAAACACACAAACAAAATAATGGTTGCAAAATTGTCTTTTTCTTTTGTTGCAGTGATGCCACTGAAGAACCATTCTGGGTTCTCAAATAAACCTTTCAGTGAACAGTAATTAGAATAACCATTTTTTTCCTAGTGAAGAAAAATCTGAAGAACCTTTTTCCACCATAAAGAACCTTCTGTGCAATGGAAAGGTTCCATGGATGTTAAAGGTTCTTCACGGAACCACATATGCTAATATGGATCATTTAGACATTATTAGTCCTCTATCAAGCTGTTTATAGGGTTTCACTGGAAGTTTTATTGTCAATGTGAGGACATCTGGTTCATACTTGGATACACAAATATGTGGGTGTTTCATTACAGGAACTTTTGGCCCTCTGAATGTTTTTTTAATGGTGTATTGTATCTCAGATGGTATATTACACTCTGTGTTGGAAATGACACTAATGGAAATTATATTTTTTTACTTTTTTGTGAATGACAAACTCCTTTGTCTTGCTAAGGCTAACTGCTAAGGCTAACGTTATTTTCACTGGAAATGACACAATAAAAATATTCTGTTCAAAAGTAATAGTTACCTTAATTTCTCTTTGTTTCCTTCACATATTACATGTCTAATGTTTATTTGTATGCTTTTATCCAAGTGACTTACAAATGAGGAACTTAAGCAATTTACAACAGAGCCAACAATATTCAGCTTTACAAAAAATTGTATTATGGTCAAAATTGTTCATTATTGTGTAAATAACGCTACTACTGTGAGACAAATATCTGTCCCTCATTGATATAAATCATTTCACACAATAAATATTGAAATGGTCTATGTTTATTTCACTAATTAGGGTATTTAATGTTCAATGTTCAGAAATTATTATTTCAAGAAATGGTCATGTTGACACATTTCACTTCCATTCTTTTGGGGTAAATACAGAAAAAAGTATACACCGTAATTATGAAAAATATATATACTGTATATCACACTCTGAAGCCCATATGGATTTTCACAAACTGAGAAAGTCATAAAGTATTAGGTTGTGCCCCGCTCTCCCCATAATAGTTTTTCATGTAATAATTTATATTTTTGAATGATAGATTGACAGTGTAAAATAGAGTCTGGGACAAAGGTAAAGCAATAAAATCAAAGGCCTTTTATTTCCCCCTGAGATATAAAAGTGGCCAAAGTTAAAGAAATATCCATATAAGCAACAGACTGTATTATAAATCTCATTTACCTTCTCTGGCCATCTCTGCCACCAGTAAGGTGACTTGAGAGGTGAGGGGACTCTTCTTCCTCAGGACTTGAGCAAGTATGGGCAGAACACCACTGGACACTATTTTCTCTGCTGTTCCTTTCTCTGGGGATAGAAATTGATGGAATTATTTTCTTTGCATATTTGTAATTTCATATACTGATGCACTATAAATAAATGCATGTGTTTATTTGGGTAAAATTCCTTACAGGTGTGCGCTCTGTTTTTGTAGACAGAATATCACCACTGAATAAAACCAACTGAACACTTTAACAAAGCTTCCCTATTTTTCACTGATGTCAAATCAATTTCAGACAGCACTTTCTTCCTGATAGCTCATCCTGTTGCTTCACTTTTTCTTTTATCTCCTCCCTCAGGTTTTATTCCGCGCACTTCAGAGATGCTTTGACACCGAGGCCTCAGAGTAATCCGTTCAAATTCAAAGTGGTAGATGAGGATCTGCTTCGGAGACAGAGATACTTGCAGGAGGAAATCTGTCATTAAAGCATGTTCTCCTCAAGGAAAATATCCACAAGGGCCACGGTGGCAGGTCAAGCTGTCAGAGGAAGCCTAGCTGCCATGGTAACATCTACTTTGTGTTTTTTTGCGGGGGCTGCGTTTCCATTTTTAGATGCACTTGAGATCCGAAAGCGCAAGGAATGTGCCAAGAAGGACAGCTGGTGCAAACTAATTTGCGAGAATGAGCAGAAGATGGGGAGTGAAATGGAGTAAAGGAGAGAAAGATTAATGAGATTAACCTGTTCTCTCCTTCGCCTTCCCTCTCTCAAATGTAAATGCGGATTACTTGTCTCCTACTTGTGCCCCAAATCTGCTAGCAGGAAGTTAAGCTGACCCTCTGCTGCCCCCTACATTGGATTGTCTTCCCACACACACACACACAGAGTACTTCAAGTAGGCAGAGGCAAATAGCAGCTCACAGCAGGATGAGTGTGTAATGAGTGCAAGCTAAATGGTGCCCTCACTCAGTAGGGCTTCTGGCAACAACAGATGTCATTTTCACATGTGATCGTGTTTTTTTACCGGTTCTCTTAAGGGTCATGGCACCAGGATTGGATGTTGCAATAAACAAACGTATAGATATGAATGAAAAACAGGTTTATGTAACGACGGGTTGACAGATATGTAATTAGATGGAGGGGTAGTTATTTGGTGTAAACTCACTCTTCTCTAATAGGAGGTTGAGTAGAACATCCAGATGAGGCTTCAGCTCCTCCTCCACCAGCTCTGTGCTGACACTGATGGCTTTCATGGCCTCACTGAGAGATTCTGAAACACAATCATTACATCACCAACCGCCGCACAACATTTCAAACTAACAAGACATTTTCATGATGATGCATAACCATCTCCGTTATACTACAGATACAGTTGAGTTTATCCATGCATTCAGTGAATTTCCCATGAACACTATTAGACTAAAATATAAAGAAGTAAACTGAATGTCTGTATCATGATATCATGGATTTTTTAATTATTATTGGGTTGATATTGGATATGTGTGCATGCTAATTTACCCCCTTTTTCTTTTAGATTACATCAAACATTTACTTTTAAAGTAATTGTAATTAGAAGCATTTAACGCAATTGATTTCAAGTCGACATGAAACAGAAACTGCAATCGTGTGTCATCCCTATTCTGACATATATCTGAGTGAAATGGCTTTTTGAACAAGAAAAAATGTAGGATGGGACTTGATGTGGTTCACTGGGAATTAATTGGATGGTTGTTGTTTGCTAATTGCAGCTATTTCTTGAGCGACAGGTTGCTGGAGAGGGGGAATTATTGTCCTGTCCTTACACTGATGCACAAGTCATTAGAGAAGAGCTGTCATTGCAAGAGAGAGCGAAAGTTAATGTTTTTGGGGGTTTTTTCATAGAATTAATGATGTGTACGGGTAAATGGTTTATAATTGCATAAAAATAAGGACTGTCAATTTTGATTTTATGGTGATATTAAAGTTAAAATCAGCCTGAGTTGTTCAGCCTGTGGATAAACACATAAATGAAAAAGAATTCCTTTTAACCATAGTATATACTACACAGCATTACAGGTCATACACTATCTGCAGTTTTCCCCTTTGCACACTATGACAGTCATTTCCTGGGCACAGGAAGCAAACAGTGCCAGAATAAGAGAGAGACGATTCTGTATCTCTTCTGTAAGTAATCACCCCGATAATCCCTGGTAAGCAGAATGAAAATAGACATAGAGGAGGGCTATCACACCTTTCCCTTCCCCACACTCCCTGTGATCCACAATAGATATGTCCTGCAATATAAGCCCTCTCCATTATAGTTGTAAAGGGCAGGCTGGAAAGCAGCAGTGCGTATGAGAGCTGGGCGGGGTTGAGGATACCCTGGGGCTCTCATTAACTCTGGGTGTCTGGCTCCCAGCATGCCCTTATTTAAACACCTACATGCTGAGGATACACCTCTTAAACAATGGGGTTCAGCTCACCTGGAGGGTTAATCACCATTCGATTTCTCTGAACCTAAGAAAGTGTGACCTTTAGATGCAGATGGCGTATATGTTCAAAGTTACACCTTGTATTACAGTTAACAACTTGAAGCAGAAGCTCAAAGAGGATTTGCAAAAAAGAGATTTGAATCACTTACCTATGTCTGCCATGACCACAGGTCCTCTGAGTCTCTGTGTGTGTCTCGGCGGTGTGTGGTTAGAGAGGCAGCCCTCCACGAGGCAGGATGGACGGCTCCAGCCCTGAGATCGCCTGAAGTCAGTGAAGCAGCCGTGCCTCTCCTCTGCTTAGCTCCTCACCCTTCCCGTTTGTGCTGATCACACATGCGTATTCTTCTGGTCCCTCGCTGTCATTCACTCCCTCACTTACACTCTGCGCCTCTCAGTGATGCTGCATCCACTTTGGCTAATTCACATGCCCTATTATTTCTGTGTGTGTGTGTGTGTGTCTCTCTTGCCGATGCAATCCTCCCCACCCTGGTCCTCGGCTGTCTGGCAGTATTCTTGCTGCCCTTCCTCCCTCCTCATAATACATTCTAAATCCTAAAGCTGCTCAAAGCTCATCAGTTGACAATTAGCCTGGCGAAGACGCTGAGGCTGACACACTACCCTCAGTTCTTAGATGTGTTTTGCACTGCAGTTGTACACTCCTCCATCTTTGGGTATTATTACAGCGCAAACATGAAATATGAACACTGGGTCTGTGGCCCAGGGGGTCTGGCAGCTATTTATCAAGATATTATTGTGGCTGTCTCAGTGGGGAAGACTCATTTAAAGGGATACACTCTTAAAAATAAAGGTGCTTCACGATGCCATAGAAGAACCTTTTTGTCTAAATGGTTCCATAAAGAACCTTTAACATATTAAGAACCTTTCTGTTTCACAAAAGGTTCTTTGTGGCGAAAGAAGGTTCTTCAGATTATAAAAAGGTAAGAAAGAGATGGTTCTTTAAAGAGCCTTTGACTGAATGGTTCTTTGTGGAACCAAAAATGGTTCTTCTATGGCATCGCTTGAAGAACCTTTTGAAGCACCTTTATTTTTAAGAGTGTAGTTCACCCAAAAAAAATGAATTTCGTTTTCATTTAGTCAGGATATGTCATTCCAAACCATTTTGACTTAATTTCTTGAGTGAAAAACAAAGGGAGTCGTTTAGCAGAACGTCCAAGCTGCTGTATTTCTGTATAATGAAAGTGGATGGAGACCAGGGATGGCTGTGCAGTCTGGACATTCTGCCTGGTAACTGCTTTTGTGTTCCACACAAAAAAAGAGTCATAAGGGTTTGGAATGGCATGAAGGTAAAGAGCCGTTTACACCAAGAGCGTTAATGATAACTATATTTGCGTTCACACCAACAGACATTTACTGTGAGCACGCTAAAGTCAAGGATTCTGATTGGCTGTCAGTGTTTTTATCGTTTAGCAGAAGTACAATAGGCCTGTTCACAACTAGGACATTAACTATAACAATAACTATAACATTTTAATAATTGTTCTAATTATATGAGAACAGGGAAGTCCATACCTCAGCTACAACGATAACAACACAGAGAAACAGTATCGTTGGAATCACTTTCAGAATAATTTTCTTTCCAGCTAATCAGACAGCCAATCAGAATTCACCCAACTTAAAAACTCAAGTATTTAAAGCAACAGATGGCATATCTGCAGCTCACATTTATAATAAACAGAACACTATGGTGCACTTGTGTGGACGGTAATATATTCATCGTTATAGTTATAATTTTTGTTACAAATAGGCCTTAAATCTGAAAGTGATTTCAACAATATAGTTCCTCTTTGTCGTTATCAGTTGAGGTGTGTGGACTTTCCTATTCTCATAGAATTAGAATGATTATTAAAACCTTTGTAGTTATCTTCATAGTTATTGCCTTTGATGTGGACAGCCCTTATGTAAATGATGACAGGATATTCATTTTTGGCTGAACTGTCCCTTTAAATCTTGTCAGGGCCCTCTGAAATGTATCTGTGAGTGTTTAGTGACAGTAATAAAATATTACTGCAAAGGGAAGTCACATCTGAATCAAATTAAAACAGATGACCTTGAGGGCAGATGACGCAAATGTTGTTACGACTAGGAGGGTGTTTAGATTTATTTATAAAGCTACAGCCAAGCAGAATTTAAACAGATGTCAAATATTACCTGTGTTGATGGACAATAATAATATTCCTTGTCTTTAGTATAAGTTTTCTATATATATAAATATTATTTTATCATTTTAATGTAAGCTCAGCCTGCAGTGCCATGACTTGTATGGGAATGCAACATTAGAATAGCAAGTATCATCAGCAGGGGGCAGCAACAATCATCAAAAATAGCAAATTAGCAGTCATTTAAAAGACACAAATCATAAAATCAAAATAAAATGTCACAAAATAGCACATCCAAGTCTAATAGTCTGCTACTCTGTACATTTATTTAGATGGCACAGTATTTTGATTTACAGTATACCATGATACTGAGCAATTACCATATCCATGGTGTATACAATGAATATGATACGTGTCCAAAATAACATGCTAGTTTCATGGTACTTTTGACACTAATAGTGTTATTAATTTACTTGTGAAAAACCAAAAGAGCCTATGTTTATCTTTTATATAGAAATGTGTGGCTGTGTCTCAGTGTGTGCTTCAATTTAGACCAAAAAAGAGCTCACATAGTCTTTTCTTCAGTCATTTCCTTATAATGGTTTGTAGCAGCAGGTGGCAGTATGAGGCTGTCCATTTAGTCAAACCATTTGAGAAGAAAATTTAGCGTTTTGTTTGTAGGTCTAAAAAGAAGAGTTGGCACATTTTTAATAGAATACTATAAAACAAAATTGCAGGTTGTCATGAAGGTGGCGCAAGTAGTTGCATGACAAGAGCCATTTAATTCTGGCATATTTGCTCATATGAGGCTTGTATTAAAATGTCAATGATCATAAGAGTGATCACAGTCAGTTATCCAGACTTACTGTGAATATAACCAGATTTTATATATTTGAATGTGCTTTAGTTTAAATTATATTTTTCACATTGTAAATAGCATGTTTTAAACATTATTTGTCACCATAATAACAAATTGTCACTAAAACATGCACAGATGAGACTCCAGGGCCTCATGATGATGGTATTCATGCACTCGAATATCATTAGTGTCAAAGGCCTCTACAGAAACATGTTTGGGCCCAGTGAATGATTTGATATTGCTCTTATAAAAGCCTCTAACCCGAACCAAAACAGACAAAACATGACAGCAGAAAACAATCAGGGAGCTCACATCTGCTTAAACAATGGGTCTACTGACACTCTTACTGAGGCCTTTCCTGCTGATAAATCTGAGTCAGGAGATCAAGGGTTAGGGCAAAAAGTCAAATGTCACACTAAAAACATCCATTCTGACTCAAAAGCACGAGTAGAGGAATTCAGTTCTTGTGTTGTCTAACCACTATTGGCCAGGGCTGCATTTCCCAAAAGCATCGTAAGCTTAAGTTGATCGTAGAACCATTGTCACCAATGGAGCTACGATCAATTTAGGCTTACGATGCTTTTGGGAAACGCAGCCCAGTTCAAAAAGAACACATCTCCATAAGACAGCATTGTCAACATTGAAAATATATAGGCTACACTACCATTCAAAGTTTGGGGTCATTAGAATTTTTCTTAAGAAATTAATACTTTTATTCAGCAAGGATGTATGAAATTGATTTAAAATGACAGTGAACACATTCATAATGTAACAAATAAAAAAATTGAACTTTCAAACAATGTAACCAAAAATGTATCACTGTTGCCACAAAAATACTAATCAGCACAACTGTTTTCAACATTGATAATAATAATAATAAATGTTTCTTGAGCAGCAAATGAGTGTGTTACAATGATTTCTAAAGGATCATGTGACTCTGAAGACTGCAGTAATGAAGATTTGTCTGCTAACAACATTTACACAAACTGATTCATTATGACAACACTTACCCACCAGACTATCATCATGGTAAATGTAATTAAAACGATCATGTGAGGAGTGCAATTGAAGCCACCATGAAATCCCAATCACAAAAGTTTGCTATTTATAAGATATTTGATGGCAATATTAGTCACATTTATAGGTACTTTTGCTTCAAACAGCTTTGTTTTCTTACAGACAGTTCACTTAAGTCTTACATACATATTGAGAATATGCAACAGTAATCATTAAATAATTAATTAAAACAAATAAACTGTGCCAATCATTGATGCAATAGCCTTGCAATATACCGTAAAGGAACAAAGTCAAAAGATGCGGTATGGAGGTGAAGTAATTGCTCTACAGAATGCACTGTTGACCAGACAGACTTCATTAGCTAATGGATCTGACTTGCATTAATCAATTCACAATTCCAGACAGTCCTCTGAGAGACCAGACTGTCTCTATTCTCCTTTCTGCTTCTCTCTCTCTCTCTATTACACACACACACACACTCTCTCTCTTTTGTCCTATGCCATTTCTGTCTATTCCCCATGGACAAAACCTTAATATCTTCTCACCCTCATATTGTCTCACAACGTCTGTCTACTGTACATGTGTGAAATTAAATTCATGGAATAACTGAATTAATTAATCTAACACGGAAATGCATTTGCCAGAGAGACAGAGCTGAATTAAGACCTCAGAGATGCAAAACAATCCTCTGCTTTGGAGTAACACAAGAAAATTTGCACATCCAGTGTGTATTTACAGTACACATAATTTTCAGTATTTGAATAGTGTATGCGTGCATGTACTGTCCCTGAGCCTCTGAATGTCCTTGTTTGGCAGATGGGGTGTCATGGCTGAGTTCTGCAGGAGGTCTGGACTGAGAACCCCTGTGTCTGTGGCACGACATAATGTGCCATCTGAGAAAAAGGCCCACACCATGGCATCTCATCAAAAATTCATCATCTTCATACACTCAGGGGGCTTCTACTATCCCCAGGGAACATCTCCCATTATCATAACATTGAATATAAAAGACTGAATGAGAAGACTATATTTATGAGTTCCATTTGACTAAAATGAGTGGGGAGAAATATATAAAATCAGACGATATAAAAGTAAGAATTAACAGCAGGCTGGTGGAACCTCTCACATTAACTAAGAGAAATAAAAATCATTAATATAATATAATATAATATAATATAATATAATATAATATAATATAATATTAATAGCAGGCTGGTGGAACCTGTCACATTAACTTAGAAAAAATAAAATAAATCAGGAAATAATTAAGAGAAAGCAAGATAAAAGCATTATCAGACTTGTTTAGTAAACTATTGCAAGCGGGTCACCAAATTTATTTTTTTATTCTATAAAGCTGAAAATGTTTATTTAACTTTGTTTGATTCCTCTATGGACACATAAAGCTTAAGCCTTAAAGTCTGTTAATTCCTTTCCCACTGACTGTAAGTTATAGCGAGTTTAATGATATTATATTAAGCCTTCCATTCTTCCTCCACATCGCGTTACACAGCTGCTGACAACCA